TACATATATATACATACATTTTTGTATATAAAATATATTTAAACAATTTTTTAATTTTTTAAAAAACAATCCTGTGATGGCAAAGCTGAGTTTTCAGTCATAAATCTCACATGATACTTTAGAAATCATTATTATGCAGATATAGTGCTCAGTTTCTTATTATTATCAATTTTGAAAACAGATGTACCAGAAAATGTAATGTATAATTCTAAAAAGACCGAATTACTGTATCGTCCTCTTTGTCATTTATTACCTGTATATTGAATTTAGAGTGGTCGAACCAGAAACCGAGACAGAACCTGATGCTGTTGTGCCAGAGACTAAAGAACACACGGATGGAGAAAGTGGAGGAGGAGAAGATGGAGCAGCAACCTCTGTCCAGGTGGAGGAGGCTGTATCCAATGAGGCCCCTGCAGACACAGAAATTCTGGTGAGGGACAGCAGCATCCTTTGTTGGTTGTCTTATCTGGTACACTATTTCATCACTGGTTTAATATGAGGCCAAACAAGTTGGCTTACAACAGTTGCCAATGCAAATTATGTTTGTGGTTCATAAAACAGTATGTTCTGTGAGCCAGAGGTGCACATTTTATGTCAGTTCACACATACAAATATGTGCAAACCCAAATCAGGTATTGAATTCTCTGTTTCTCTGTGAAGGTGGCAGAAGTCAATGGAGAAATGACTGACAGTCAAGAAGAAGAGAATGAGGGGTCAGCAGTCACAACAGAGGATGCAAAGGCTGAACCTGTCATCCAAAATGGCACTGCTGAGGAGATGGAGGCAGAGGGAGAAGCACAGGTAAACTATTTAGTTCAGGTTAAGGTCAAGGTTGTACTGTTACATGATTTGAGCAATCTGTATGCACTACCATTTGGGTCGTTTATTTTTTTTTTACATTTTTTAAGAATGTCTCTTATGCTTACCAAGACTGCATATTTATTTGAGAAAATACTGTAAAAACAGTATTAGTGTGAAATATGTTTACAATTTAATATAACTGTTTTCTGTTGTAAAATATTTTAAAATAAAACCCAAAATAAAATGTTAAATTTTAACAAAGAATGCTGTTAACATTGTCACAAATCATGTCAGATCTGTGGCATAGCGGTCAGTGTCACAAGTTCAAACCCTACTCACAACATCTCTTTCTGAATATTTGGGAAATTTTAGGAAAAATGGAATTCACAGTTATCATAGTGTTTTTTTATTTTTTATTAAGAGCATCAATGTCACTATTTAGACTAGACCTAAACCGAATCCTAATCTGGTTTGTCTTGTTAAGGATGACATCATTAACACCCCTGAAGAGTCTGAAGTAGTGGAACAGATCGACCAAGAACTTGTTACTGAGGAGAAACAGGATGCAGAGGCAGAACTTTCTTCTCCAGTTGAGGAGGAAGAGGAAGTTCAGCAGGAACAGGAAGAGGAAGTAGCTTCTGCAGTTGAGGATGTAGCTTCAGCGCTTGAGAAAACCGAAGACACTGATCATCCACCAGCTGTTCCTGAGGCGCCAGTCATTCCAGCCGACCTGGTTGAGTGTGTTTCCTCTGTGCGGGACAGTGATGCAGTAGAGGAAGCATCTGCTCCTGAGCAAGAAGCTCCACTGGAGGAGACATCTGCTTCTCCTAGTGCAGCAGGTGAAGAAGTAATTATAGAGACAGAGGAGCCAGCTCTGAACCAACAAGATGAGACTGCCTCCGATGAGCCACTTGAGACAGAGGAAAGCCAACCTGCAATGGAGGACTCCGAAAAAGAGGAGCCAGAGGAAGAGAATTTACCTGAGACAAATGAAAAAGAGGAACAGAAAGAAGAGGAGGACACTGCCACCACTGAAGATGATGATGATGATGATTATGATTATGAGGGGAAAAGCTCAAACGAAACTCACGATTCTCCTCCTGGGGTTCGAGTTCTTCGAGGAGGCAGGATCAAACCTGTCCCGCCAACACCCAAGCGCACATCCAGTAGACTGAGCAAAGCTGTGGTCATACAGGTGGTGGATGAGGAGTTTGATGATGAAGAAGAAGAGGAGGAGGAGGAAGAAAAGCTCACAAGCACTGAAGAGGAGAAGGGGAGCACAGAGGAAGATGAAGCTGCCGAACACAGTTCGGGAGAAGAGGAGGAGCCGCCGGTGACTGACAGGAGAGTCTTGTGGAGGAAAGCCAAAGTGATCCAGGCCACACCCACAAAAGCAAAAAGACGCAGTAAAAACTGATTTCATTAATTCTCCATGACACTCCAGTACACTCCATTCAAAAAACATAGTTTGTAAGTTAGTAGGCACTACTTAGTACACACACATCTGTTCTAGAAAGTATTGAGCGTCTTTTATACTTGGGTTAGGGTTTATAACAGGTGGTGTTTACAACATCTAGTTTTTGGTTTTGGTTCAGGTTTTGTTTTATGACTAAAAGAGAAATTTCAAACAAAATGGGCAGTATTTCATAAGCACAGTCCTTAATAATAATGCTGACTGCTCACAATTATAACTGATTTTTATCTCCTTTACTTTTGATTTACGTGATGCTTATTGAATGCAGCTTAAACTGCTTATAAAAAAGCAGCTATAAGTTTGCAAATTTACAATGTGAAGATCTTATATTAGGCGTGCTGCTGTGGATTGAGTTTCACCATTATCGTTTCAGATTTTGTTCTCACAAATTTTTTGATTTCGATTTTGTTTCACCTCACACAATAAGGTTTTAAGGAGGTCCTTTCACATTTGTAACTACCTTTCAGATGATAGGTTATTACATTTGTTCTCAAAATTAGTGAATTAAGGCATTGCTATGCACGCCCATACATACACACGAACATATGTACGTGTATTCACACATAAATATGCAAGTATGTTTATACCTGAGGAAAGTGCAGGTTAATATAAAGTTTACATGAAGGCTAATATGTTTTGGTTAATTATATATATGGTGTGTTTAGCATCCAAAACAGGTTTGCGTTTAAATATCTTAATGTCTTATTTTAAATACCAACTCTAGATTATATATTAAGCTGGAAACTAGTACATAAAATAAGAGTGGTGAATCTTTATAATTTTGGCTTTAAGTAATGTAATATTAAGACTCGTGTTGACACCTGTTAGCATTTTACTCATGGTTTGTTTCGTTGACATTTTTCGTTCTGCGTATCCTTGTTTTTTCCCCAAAAAATTCTAAACCCACGTGTTCGTAAATGGCGCATATATATGGTCTAATCATATTTTGTTAAAGCTGTGAAAGAAATTGCTCACACATTTCAGTTTTTGAGTTTTAATGTGGGTGACCACATGAGGGCGCACTTGGATGTTAAAAAAGCCATTGCGGGAGTCTCTTCACACTCTTTCAAGACTGTTGTTTGTCTTCGCCGTTATCTCATTGTTGACACCTGAGGTCAGTTGCTTGCGTTTTTATATCAGGTGAAAATATGGAAAAGAACTCTAGAAATGACCTTTATACGTGTATTCTTCCAGATTTCCTCTCAACTTAAAGGAAGACTTTCTGTCTTGTTGACAGAAAATCAAATAAAAGTAGACATTTTTTTTTATCACAATCTTGAGTGCTTTAAACTTTATTTACTTATTTTAGGTGTTTGAGCAATATTTTTCTGGAGTAGTTTTCTCAAACCGTGATTTTCCTGTAGTAAATAAATACCTTTCTTGTATATTCCATGTCCTCCTCAGTTTTTTTTCAACCCAGTTTCTTTCACATGAATGTGTAAATATTAATACTTTGTGCTCTGAACTGTGTAAACATACACGCATGGATGAGGCGGAGTGATTTTGTACAGCTGGGTTGAATGATATTTCGGTGGCCAATCATTTGCTAAGCAAGGTGTGTCAGAGAGTGCATGTGTCGCCTCTTTTGTGTTTTCTAACAAAAGCCACCCAGCTGGCTTTTTCTGCCTTACCCTACCTTGTTCTTCCAGCTTTTATCCATTTTAGCAAATTTTAGTCAATTTCCACATCTTTTGAATTTTGTTTTTCATTGACTATATGTGTGCAACTGCTAATCTTAAAAGAGAATTGGTAAAGGGATATTTTGATAGGTTTTCAAGGAAATAGATGGAAACCAAACAAAAGATACCTCTTTATGTATATTTCACACATTTTGAATTGTGCATGGTTTTTGCAAACCAATTGTGCAAGGTATATCTCTGCAAGTGTGTGTGTGTACCTGCATGTACGTCTGTGTATTTGTGGTGTGGCTGCACTAGCTGCTGTGTGTGTGTATGTGTGTGTGTTTTATGGTCCTGGCTGATTAAGCTTGGCACTGTCAGGAGTGGGTTTGTGTGTGTAATTAATGATGTGTCTCCTGCTCTCTCCCATGGTAAAGGCTAATAGGATTTCCCAGCCCCAGGCTACAGCGAGGAGAGGCTGGGCGCATGAGGAAGTGTGCAGGAGAGGAGAGGGGAGGCAGATTGCGAGAGGTGATAGGAGAGGTGACAACGCAGGAGGTTTGAGCAGGTGGAGGTGAGAGGTTACAGAGGATTCTGGATGGTCTGGCCATGCTTTAGCGGAGAATTTGGGCTGCTGTGGGAAAAGGAGAATGTTTTAAAACAGTAAAACCTCTAGAGAAAGAAACTGCAAAAAAAAGGGAACATGTAATTTAACATTTTATGGGGAAAAAAGATTTTCTAGTCCTTTTGAGATTTTTTTTTTTTATAGGAAAAGGTATTTATTCACCTATGTTTATATTAATGTATTACAGTGTTTACAAATATTTTGAAAATTAGAAATAGTTTATTTTAGTTTATTTTCAGTCATCATTAGTTATATTTAGCTAAAATAGGTCAAATGTAGCTAGCCATTTAAACCAATTTAAACCTTAATATTGCTATTTTATATTTGCATCAATATTAAAAAATGAATTAAATATTAATAAAGAAATTAAAAAATATATAATAGTATTAAATAATTTAATTTAAACCACTTTAAACTATTTAATATTAATACTATGTATTTACATCTATTTATTTCTTTTTCTTGTTTCTTTTTCTACAAAAAGTTTAATTAAGTTAGTTACAGCTGAAATGGATAAACTGTAACCAGACACTTTTAAAACCATTTAATATCACTATTGTATATACTATATGCACAGAATAGAAAACAGTGTAATAACAACCTTTAAAATAGTTCTACCAACCAGGTTTATAATGTGCAATTGGGACATTTTGAGCTGAACTAAAAATACACAAGATCAAATCTAAATGTAATTTTCCATCTGAAAAAACCCCCCCTCACAATCAGTAGTTGATTGATAGATTTGTTTAAAGCAAAAACAACTTTTAATTGTTTAATTTCCTCAGCTATATTCAAGTTTGCTCAAATAAAACTGTTCACGATTATGCTTAAATGTTTGACCTTCGAAGAGTCTGAAATCAAAAAGAAAATGTGCAAATATAACTAATCTCTAAAGAGAAGAGGAAAGGTGACGAGAACAATAATAAAACCTATGCTGAAGAGTGCGATAGAGTAAGCAAACCAAAGTGAGGAGGGATGCTGAGAGGCTTTGCAATGAAAGAGACTTTCTAGGGGGTTCCTGTGCTGTGGGGCTGATTGTGTGCCGGGTGGAGGGGGGCATTGTGGGATAGCATGGGACGGAGAAACGGGAGGGAGAGAGGTGTGAGAGAACGAGCAGGTGATTTATAACAACAACAGAAGGCTTCTCTCCCCTCCACCACCTCCTCTTCCCTCTCACTGAAGCAAAACAAGGAAATCCATTACAAAAAGGCTCTTGTGATAATGGACTTTGCTGTGTGTGTGTGTGTGCAGAACCAAGACATCGGATATATTTGGGTAATAAAAGTGTAAAGATTTTTTCTCAGATGTACAAGTGTGCCCGTGAAGCTCCGGTTCGTATGTGTATACACACACATTTTCAGTCCCCGAGCTCCTTGCCTTCTCGTCCTCACCTCCCTGAGATAAAGACCTCTATTCTACCTCGCCGAACGAGAGATGGTGCTGGCAGGCTCCAGGGAGCAAACAGAGAGAAGGAGGAGAAGTAAATAATAGAGGGATATGGCAGGCAGTAATGGTATGGTGGCACTGAAGACCACGTTCCCCACGGCAGGAGGGGCTGCATGCGGGATCTAGCCCGGCTCAGAGTCTCTCTCTGGGGGAGGAGATGGTGTGGAAGAGCCTGTGCCTGCTCCTCTCACATTACCCCTTATGTTAAAACCAGTCAGGGGGAAAATTGGGGCCTGCGTGGTCCTCCGCAGGCCCACCTGAGCCCACTGAGACAAGGGATGGGGAAGGAGGGGTACCTACAAGTCTCTAAATGCATGAGTAATAAGAGTCATAACCTTGAAAACATGTTGGGCATGAAAGCAGATACATGTGAAATGCATGTTTGTTGTTTGAATGTGATGGCTGTCAACACCGATGGAAGAGAGAGTAGGAAAACTTTGCAGATAAGTTTGAATGGATTTACAGGAATGACTGAATTACTTATTCATGTAAAAATGTATATATTATATCCTCACTTTGGAAGTACCCATAAAGGGCTTCCAAGAATTTATTTAATGGATTTATAAAAAAATATATATTCCTGGGACAATGTTCCAGGTTGTCCCCACCTGATGGCAGTATCAACAGCTAAAATCTTATTTTTTTTTTTTTTGTTTTGTTTAGTGGTATTTCTTTGTTGATTTGTTTGATAGTTTGTCTTTAGTTATAATTATTTGCTCTAAGAATGTTTGTTTTTTGTTGTTGTTGTTTTTGGTTTGTTTAATTATTTTGTTTGATTTGTTTCATTGGCTCTAAGATGAATTTAGTTTTTGTTTTGTTAATGACTTCTCTTTTGTGATTTGTTTTGTTTGATGATGTGTTTTGTTTAGTAACTTTACTGTTTTGTTTGGTGGTCTCTTAAGATTAATTTAGTCTTGAATGTTGTGACATTTCTTTGGTGAAGTTTGTGTGGTGGTTTAGTGGATTGGTCTTGTTTGGTCAGCTCTAAGATTGTTTTTGTTTTGTTTGTTTAGTGACGTCTGTGATTTGCTTTATTTGGTGTTTGTTTTCTTTAGTGACTCTGGTGATTTTTGTTTGATGGACTATACGATTGTTTTTGTTGTTTTTTGTTTAATTTATTGAATGCTGTGCTGAAAGACCTTGTAGTACTGAGTCACTTTTAACATTGAATCACTTTTACCGAGATAAGTAAAAAAAAAAAAAAAAGATTTATTTTCTTTGTGGTTATAAAATGCACAGATTAAATTAACTTTTTTTTTTTTTTTTTCAAAACAAATTATCAGTTTCTTTTTTTCGTTCATGTTAAATAATTTTTTATTAACAGTAAAAAAATAAATAAAAATACAATGAAGTTTCAATGAACCTGTACTATGAGTGCTTATTTGGTTTTGCAAAATTTAACATTTAACATGAAAAATTGGGTTTAACAACAGTTAGCAAACAATGGGATGTCTTAAGAAATTAAATTAAATGTAACAGTTTATATACTATATATTTTGATTACCTTGAATCCTTTAAACCTAAATACTGTAGTGTCAGTTTCTACATTTCTCTCTAGTGTCAAAACTAGTTAATTAAATACTTACAAAATTATGCCCCCTATGTCCAGGTGACATTTGTCTAGACAATTGTTTTTCTTCACTAGCCCAAAAGATGGCGCTTGCTTTCAGTCTGGAGGCTGTTCAGGGTGCAGTGGTAAGTCACAGATGTTGCCTGTCCCGTCCTTTTGTTTTCCCCCCATTGAGAAGAGCGACCTCAGCTGTTAAATGAGATTCTTCATTATGGCTTCAATGTTCTTTTGAAAATCATTTCCATTAAAACATTTTTTTTCAAAGCAAGGTACTAAAGCGAAGGTTAAATGAAGTTGAACAACGCACAGGCTCGTCAGGCGTTTCTGCGAGCTTCTCAATGACAGATCACTGTGTGGGCAAAAGCCTCTGTATAAGATGGGGGATGGGAGGTGATTTGGGTAAGGCAGATGTCTCCATGTGTTGCAGGTGCATATGTTTGTTTTTAAATGTGAATACTGAAGAGATAAAACAAAAAATCATTAGTTGTTACTGATTTTTTCCTCTTTTGAAGTGGCGACTTCCTCTTGTGTGATGTCACAAAAGCTAATGGTGAATGTGATGTCATGGAACTTTAATTAATATAAACATTTGAATTGTTAAATTGTTAAACTATTACTGAAAAACTACTTACTGAAACAACCAAAAGTATATATGTATATCCAGCTTCAGGACGTACTCAATGCTAAGCCTTATTGTCCCAAGGTGTTTTCAAACCCAAAATCATTTAGGTCTCATAGTCAACCTAATGTTTAGTTAACCCTTCCTTGCTGTGTGAGGGTCATTTTAATCCTGGTAGCTTTAACAGAGATTTACAGCAACTTAACATCAACATTTCTGTGTAGAACTTGATATCTTGTATACTAAAACTAGAAAATGCAATTAGCTTGTTGGTTATTTAAGGTTAGTTGTTGGATTGTAAATTGAAACTCTTGGGTCAATTTGACCATAGTAGGGGTAAACCGTTCTACTTCAACTAAAAATAACTTTTTCCCTCTGAAACATGTTATAATTTTTGATTCAGTGAACCTAAAAGTCAAATTACGTATCAGATATTTGATTAGCACAAAGTGTGTTTTGGCAGGCGTAGATTCATCAGAACACAGGTATACCGAGTGTTCATCGAAATGTTTAATGAACCAATTCAGCAGTTAATGAATGAACCAAATATGTTACAAATGGACAAGTTTTAAGACAGAAAACTTTTTTTTTTTTATTTGAACAAATTGAGCCTCAGTATCTCAGAAAAGGAAGAAACTAAAGCCAACGAAAGGATGAAAATGGTGTTACCTTTAAGTACTAGCTCGCTTCTGACCATCAAATGAAGTTTGACAGCTTTTACTAATCAGTAAGTCAAAGCAGTAGAAAACCCCATGGACGAACATCTGCGCTATTGTCGCAATCGTAATATTGAACTCAGGAAACCATATCAACGGAATCAAACCAATGTGATTGGTCAAGATGACCACTGACAATACACATCCTTTGACAGTAGAAACCTATGTCTTTCCACCTTTCAGCTCCAAATATTGGTTTGTTCTGGTCCATGACCAGCCGTTAAACCCTCCCTCAGTAACCTATAGCACTAAGGCAGACCAGTTAGGGTGGAATTTCCTCTTGTGTCCATAGTTCAGAGTCTTTCCCATCTCTCTGTCCTACCAAACAGTGTTCTCCCCCATCTCTTGACCAGGATGGGACATGGGGCCGCTGTAACTGGTGTTGTTGGCCAGGGGGAAGGGTGGACTCGGACCCCCTGTGAAGCCACCCTCCCCCTGTGGATTGGGATGGAGAGGTCCGTTCATGCCTGGCTCGGGACTGGGGGTATCTGCGTGGGAGATCATGTCCGTGAACCTTTGGTCGTCTGAGGGGTGGTGAGCTGAGACCGGGCCGCCCTCCAGGGCTCCTGAACCCGAGCTGAGGAGGTAAGGGGACTCGGCTGGAGACTGCGCCTGTGAGGAAGGGGGTCCGTGAGGGAAGAAATCGTAGTTGACCACTGGCCCGTAGTAGTCACCTTGGTATTCTGAGGAGAAAAATAGAGAGCAATCAGTAATGCTTCTGATATTTAAAAGAAAACGTGCTTTTTAGGTTAAGTACACTCAAAAAATGGTGTAGAAGCAGTTTCAAGCCAAGTGCAAGCCAATTTCACAAATAATTAAAACAAACTGACAACACCTTGAATTAAATGTTCAATTTTAGAAATAGAAAAACTGAAGGAGTATATTCTTGTAAAACATACTCCAATCTGTTTTGTTTACCATTTTGAAAAATCAGCGTACATGACATTTAATTACCTCACAATGAGTAATACTTTTATTTGATTCCCAATTTCATGTTTTTCCTCATTCTCCAAGACAATGTGTCAGAATAGTTTGGCTACGACCAAAAAAATGTATTATGAGAATATAACAAAGACAGTGCTAATGAATGAAAATACTCTAATGGAAGGTGAGGAAAGAGGATATAAATAAATGTGGAAATCATAGGAGAGTGCAGAGGCATGTGTCTTCATTTTTACTCTCATATCCATCCTCTCGCTCCATCATACCTTTGTGATTGGCCTATATAATTATTGCTACAGAAAGTCATTAACATTCCTCCCCAATTCCATAATTTTTTTTCCTGCAGTTGTGATACTTTTTAATGTGCTAATCAATCATCAAAAGACATTTTACTATAAAGAAACGCCACTTGCTCGCTGAGTGATAGATAGTCGAATCATCAATGTCAGACCTCTGGAGATCAGTATGTCTATCGGTTTCCATGTTCTCGAAGCTGGAAATGCATGCTTTTTGAGGGATTTGAAATATGCACTTTTTCGATTAACTGTAGGATGGTTGGTGTCTGTATTCTGATTGTATTGCTATATTCACTCATTACAGAAATGAAAACACAGCTCGCATCTCTGCCAAACACCTGTTAGTATGTCACATACCAGGAGTGTGCATGTGCAAATCCAATCAAAGTGACCAAGCTGGAATGTTGCACAACAGGTAACTGCTTTCATGGTCTTGTTAATCAGATTTCTCTAATGAAATGAACTCCAGTGGATGCCTGTCTTATATTTCTTGTTTTATGCTCTGTTGACATAATCGTAGTTTTTGGATTCTGTGTTAAATCCGTGTTAGCATCTTAATACCAAAGAGAAGCTGCTTGTAAGAGTCTTTGTGCTTTCAAGGTAAGAGGAAAGCCTTGAAGATACAGGCTATGTGTGTGAGCGAGACAGCTCATGTTATTGTGTGTAAATGTGTGTTTTGACAAAAAGAACATTCTTTGTGTTTATGTACCTCCATAGTAGCTGTATCCTCCAGGGCCCATTATGTCAGGGTCCTCTAGTCTTCCTCCGAGTGACCTCATTCTGCGTGGTCCCCTGAAGAAAGCGTGTCGTCGAGCACCGAGAGCGCTGATCTGCTTCATTCTGCGTTCTTTAGACCGCCGATTTTGAAACCACACCTACAAGGCAAAGCCACAATTATATACCATGTAATTGCAACACAGAGGTAAATGAGATGAGATGCACCTCACGTTTATACATTTCAAATGACTCTCCAATTAGAAAACGGGTCATTTTCTACACTTGTCCAAGGTGACCTGATGGTTTAGATGAGTGGTGTAAGTAATAACACCACATAAAACAACTAAACTTACTTTACTTTCATCATGACTCGTCTTATGTTTGTTAAAGAGACTTTGTTTCTTCACAAAAGAAGATATTTTGAGAAAAAGTTTTTGTCCATACAATGAAAGTAAATGGGGTCCAAACAACTTTGACCCTGTGAATAGATGAAAACATTTTTTCTAAATATCTTCAAATCTTATAGAGGTTTGGAATGAAATGAAGGTGATTTTCCTTATTTCATTTCTTTTTTCCTTAAGGGTTGAATTTTTTTCATCCATTGCAAGAGGAAGATAATACTCTTAGTGATGTACTAGCAACACTCCTGTTGATTTAATGGTATTAGCAGCACATCTGCTTGAAGAAACACATAAACAACTTAATGAGGGAAATTCACACAGCAAATGTTACTGGTCAATGTTCATCGAAACATTGTCACAGTACTTTCTAAGCTTTGAAATGTCATTATATATATAATAATGTGACCAAATTAACTAAATACCAAGAGGATGAATGGAGCAGTATGAAATATTTACCAAAGTTAGCCTCATTATGACCATCAAAATTACACACACTATAGGTACATGTGTGTGTATGCATACATACATGAACAAATGTTCTCTTGTTTCATGATTATATTGCAGCTCAACCTATTCATGAAAGAAACTAACACATAATAACTGATCCTGCCCAGCTTGTTAAATAAGTCTTGTCAGACTACCGAACTACAATGCAATAGATTCTCAAGATTTATGTTCCTGCGAAAATTAATATGCTGTGATGATTTCACCAGTCCCTCATCTTAGTTCACGCATGCACATAATTTCTGAGATACTGTGGTGCTGACAAGTATCGTTTGATCACGGCACCGCCAGCTCATTACAAATAGACCTGATATAACAGTGTGTGACAGATGCAATATCAGACTCATCACTGTTGAACATTGTTTCAATCTTTTAGTAAGACCAAGGCAATTTGACATACCACTGTGCTGGTGGAACTCAAATATAACCTTTTAGTCAAAAGAATCACAGTCGTGTGCTTCAACAAACACCGCAAGGGCTGTTTTTCACACTGTTGTCATATAAACTGCTTGCGCAGGAACAAAGTGCAGAGGATGATGTGAAAATGTCTGACATAAGGTGACATTGTTATGCATGATGGTACAATGTAACACATTCATGCCTGAATCTGCATTGCCACTGCATAATATATGCTAACAACAGTTAGTCTGCTCTGGAGGCTCAATCCTGCCATGTACGAAAGAGAAAAAGAGAGTGAGAGAGACTATATTAGAGAGACAAAACATGTTCTCTACCTAAAACCACTTAAGCATTCCTCTCCATGCTCAGCAAAGGCAACACCTGCTTATTGAGAACAATCGGCTAACTGTTTGGTACATTTTTTCCGGCATGGCTCCGGAGGGCTCCCCGCGCAGAGCGCAATCCACATTTAACACATAACAAATGAACGGGGATGTGTGGCAAAGGACGTCTCCATTTTGGCTCAGAAACAAAGCACTGAGCCTTGCTGGGATTCAGAGAGGGTTGCGATTTCTTAATGATGACAGTGACACGGGAAGATGATGAGTTCACAGATATAACCCAGAATAACTTTAGTCATCAGAGATCAAGAACCAAGATCCTTTTGCTTTTTTACTTTATATGGACATATGAACCGGATGATAAATCCGTGTTAAGATGCTGTATTTTTTGCTGAATTTGATCATTTCTTTAGATTTATATTCAAGTTATCCTTGTAATTAATATTTTGATGATATATCAAAATTACTAAATGCTTCAGGACTAAATACTTTTATGTTTCACTGATAACTGGTGGAAAACTCTCGTTCTCACTAATGGTGTTGACCTTTATCTGCACTTTACAGCATAGTTGTGTTTGTCAGCCAACACCTTTTCAAGTAAATTTCACCTCTTCAATTATTTGAGCATTTTAAAAACGGAACGTTCTTAAATTTAGTGGAAACCTTTGGCTGTAATTGCTGTCAGAACAGATTGTCTTTCACATTCATATTTTCTCAGCAGGAACTGACAAGCCTATCATCTAGCTGACATTATCTTGCTTTTTTTTAAAATCAGGGCCTAGTACCTGATAAAAATCCATTAACAACTTTAACTGCTTTACAACTGTGAAAATTCCAAACGATATTTGTATTTTGTCATAATCTATATGTACAAGAACATTACACCACTACAAATGACAAACCATGTATGCATGTATGTATGTGTGTGTGTGTGTGTGTGTATGTATGTATGTATGTATATATATATATATATATATATATATAAAAACTTGCCCATTACCTGTTATATTATAGGCCTACTATTAGTAACTGGTGTACAATTCCTTTAGATTAACTTCCTGAATTCCAATTTAAATGTGTCTCCTTTTTTCACTTTATATTTTGTAAGGTTTGTGAGTTAGGGCATGATCTTCAAATGTCAACCTTGTCGAACCAAGCTTTTACAACTGATTAATTAAAACTTTGGCGAAATAGCCTATCAGCATATAAATGTAACTCTAATAAACACGTGACTGATCTCTATGACAGTAGTGGTTGTACTCTGTAATTGTGTTAAATAAATAAATAAATACCCCCCCCCCCCAAAAAAAGCACGCAGCGATATCCTAAACATATTCGCCTATTTAATTTAGTTTGAGGTGAATGCTTGCATTATCTGATAGAATGTTTAAAATCTGAAAGAAACGTAGATATAAAATGGCCTAAATAAATGAATCCATCCAAATGTATTCTTACCTGTATGACTCGCATGTTGAGGCCTGTCTCCTGCGCGAGCTGCTCGCGGATGTGTCGCGTGGGCTTCGGCGTCGCCACGAACGCGGCTTTCAGAGTCTCGAGCTGTTTGGCCTTGATGGTGGTGCGCGGGCCCCGCCGCTTCGTGCCAGAGTTTTGCTCCTCGTTCTCGTTGTTGTTAGTGTCCTTATCTGAGGATGTGGAATTGTCCGTCTCCTTCGTGTCGTCCTGGATCGGATCAGGCGATAAACTCCGGTCCGTACATGATGACACTGAAGTATGATGAAGGACCAACGAGGAACACATTAGACTCGTTGCAAAAGATTTGTGGTGTTCACTGTAATATACGATCACCATCCTCTTGAGATAGGCCTAACAATAGAAGCTCTAAGTAATAATAAAAATGTGCATTGTCACATCTTTCTTATAATGTGTTTTGTGAATATATTAAAGGGCGCTAAATAAATAAATATAGGCCTATACACAAATTTACACAGTTCTAAACTAATTTAATTGGATAGGCCTGTAATATTCCATTATTTGTGTGTAAAAGTTTGAAGCACGCACAATTACGCTGAAACTGATTGTGGGTTTCACGCAAGATCATCAAATATTGGGGCCTTCTTGCTTTAATATGACAGACCAAAAAAAAAAACGGGTCTAAACATGAATCACTTCTGCAAAATATCTGAGGAATTAAGTCTGGTTGTCTCTTGGGACAGGCTGCTGTGCTTGATAACAGCTTGTCATTGTCTGAAAAGCGCGGAGACGACTACAGACGTTTATCTGACAAGAACGCATGGGCTGAGGAGAACGAGTTATGGACACTTCTCCATAGGTGGACAACACTAAACCAAAAGAGTCCTCAGCATGCAATATAAAAAAATGGATTGACTGAATCATATTCACGTACATGGACTATCATGACATCATTTTAAAAAAGGCCTGCATTTACTTTTATACCAGAATTCTAAAATAAGTTGTTCTTTTAAAAAAAGCGAGCTTAATTTTGCTGAAATGTAACACTATTTTTGCATGATCGATTAAAAACCGGTGAGATTTATCCTTATAGTGGCCTTGGCTGGATATGCGATTTTATTTATTTATTTATTTTTTCTTACAAATATGCATTTATACAAGTCATTCAAATCAAGATTACTGTAAAAAAATAAAAATAAATAGCACGCCACAAATTTCACCACTTGCAGCATTAATGAATCTGAGTGTTGTACGTCCCTTTTAAAGCGACTGGACGAAGCACTCAGTCGCTGTTAAATTAATTGGACTAGCACTGACCCACAATAATGATGTCATCTTGTGTTGGGAAACAAACAGCCTATCCGTGATTCTGAACACTCGTGAGCATCACAGTCACACGGGGACACAAGTAAATGGTGAACCAACACACCTCTGAATCGGGCTAGTCGTTTTCTTTGAATGGATTTTACATTTGAATACAACACACAGGCTCTGTTAATGTGCATTTACATCTTAGAAAGATACGCAGAGCACGTGAGACAATACTATATAATGAGTAGACGACAAACAAACACACCAAATGAAAATGTTTAAAAAAAAAAAAAATGAAAATGTGTATTGATTAATTTAAATGAAAAATGAATGCGCTTTCCTGAATGTTAATAAGAGGAATAGATTCATTTTATGAAATCTCAATATCTAGTTTAAAACGTGCCAAGTTTTAAAAAAATATAATCGTCTGTATTCGTGTTAGTTAAAAAAAAAAACATATAGGCCTACAGTTTTGTACAAAAATATAAAATATTTTACTTAATGAATAATGTCATATGGTGTAACCATCAATGAAAAGCGTCTAGCCTAAAATATTGTTCTTGGACACTTAGCCTAATCGTTATTTTCAAATATTTTTTCCTTCTTTATGAATTTGGATTATTATTTTCAAATATTTTTTCCTTCTTTATGAATTTGGAGTTTTAAGCATTCCATTTAAAAGATCAACATTAATGTAATGACCTTGACACAGTTGTGAGGGTCTAAAGGTGTTCTCTCTATTTTATAGATTTCATATAACATGACAACAAAATGGCTTCCTGCATCCTGGTTATTCCATATTGACATCGATAGGCTATAACTATTAATCATGTTTTAAAAATAATTTCTTCACTGCTTTTTAAAAATCAATAACAATAGAAACAAATGACAAACTACTTGAGCCAAACTTATTTTTCAGAGATTTTTGACGTTTTTACTTTATATTTTATACAACAAAAAAAATCTAAATTACTAATTTCGAAACTGGAATCATTTTAATCAAATAATTTTATATGAATTGCCGTTTCAATGTAATTCTGAAATAACTTAATCGATTCATGTAAAAAAATGAGCGCCAAGTCATTGACCCATAATTCACACAAATGAGTCGGACTCTTTCAGAGAAACCTTCTCTCTCTCTGTCACACACACACACACGCAGGTTTGTTTTTATGGTTTATGGGGACTCTCCATAGGCGTAATGGTTTTTATACTGTACAAACCGTATTTTCTATTGCCCTACACCAACCCTACCCCAAAACCTACCCCTCACAGGAAACTTTCTGCATTTTTAGATTTTCAAAAAAACTAATTCTGAATTATTTATAAGCCTTTTGAATTACGGGGACACTGAAAATGTCCTCATAAATCACCTTCTCGTTGTAATACCTATGTCATACCCATGTTATTATACAAATTTGTGTCCTCATAAACCACATAAACATGCACACACATACACACACACGCACGCAATTCTTAAACGCACAGCTCCAGTCGTCGTGCTCACCTGAATTTAAATTGACCTCTTTGATAGCGCTCGCCGGGTTTATTTTAACACTAATGTACTAAATCTTCCCCCATTTGTTATGGTATCGAGTCGCTCTCGCGCTTTTCAAATGCATCTCTCCCAGTGAAAGGCCATAACACTACTTACACAACAAATGGACGCATTACGGGTGATTACTGTTTCGCCTCACTAATGGCTCCACATTCAAGCGCAGAGCTGGATGGGCCCCATAGAACGTAATGGTCAAGGCCGTTTGGGATAACAATGGCACATATGAAAGCTTAAACACTGGATGACATTAAATAGCTCAGAGAAATGTAAACTAGAAGAAAACCTGACAGAACACATGTAGCGATTTTAAGCACTAATATAAGAAAATAAGCGGCCTGTTCTGAGACTACAACAATACGATTACAGGTACGCAACACAGGTGTTTAGAAACTGTCTTGTTTGGGTTCTAATCTTTTAGGAATTTAGTGCATATTTTATTGATGTATTTTTTTTGTATTTAAAGAAATTAATTTTTGTTTAGGAATTTAGCTAGGCTGCTGTTTAGAATATTTCACCGAGACTAATAAAGTTATTTTTAAACGCTCATTTTATTAAATCGTTTCTGAATTATTAACAACACATTTAAATGATCTTGGCTGTTTTAGCTATCGGTTTAGATGTTAACTGGATTTAAATGATATATTTCCTGTGTGTTAAAAATAAATCCTTTTCGCTGGAATTTTCGTTTATATTTCTGGATAAATGTGAAAAAAAAAACAGCAGTCCGTTTTGTTCAAAAGTTATAATAGTTATCCAATATATGGCCTACAATGCAGGATTCCAATGAATAATAATAATGAGCAAAATAATAGCGTGTTTTCGGGTATAATAAACAATTACTTTACTAACAGATATTTTTTCCCACAATCATGTGCACAAAGGTCTTTAACGCCGAAAGCCGAAAGCGTGTGAATACAATAAGCAATGAATGGCTCATCAATCAAAAGCTATTAATGAACGACGGAGGATCAAAGGTTTAACAGTACATTACACATTTTAGGCAGGTTAATCCACAACATGAGCCTCATCCACATAAGAGGAAAACAAGGGTAGGTAAATCCTACATGACACATTCTTCAAATGAGTATTAGTCCAGAAGTTTGACGAGGTGAGGCAGCCCAAACGCAAGCAGCTTCTTACCTGAAAAAGTCCATTTTGCAATAGAGCTTTCCATCCCTGGAGAAACATTTTTCGGTCAGGTTGCAGTTACACTCGCAGCACTGGACACACTTGGCGTGCCATGCGCGGTCGAGAACGTTCAAGAGGAACCGATCGAGAATGGGCCTCTCGCACCCCGCGCAGTGAACCATCATTCCGCCCTGGAGGGGACCGAGAGCCGACCTTCCCAAACGGGCACCGCGCCTCGGATTGGGGCCACACGAATCGGTGCGGAGCAACGTCTTGGCTTCTTGGAGAGGGAGGCAACAGCAGAGCAAATGTTCCGTCTTGAGAACGAGTCTCCACCACGCCTAAAGGTAAACACTCCGGACGTGATTGTTATGCATTATACATGTCGGCATCCAGAAATCCACAGAATCAGAAAATAAATCTATTCGTTGCAGAGTTTGCTAAGAAAAAGGCTTCTCCAAGTTTTCCTCCTGGTTTGGTTTTGTGCTCTTGATCCACCTGCGTGTGTCCACTCACCTCACCGACACTTTTTGCATCACTCTGTTCCAGTTCGCGGGAGCCTCTCGCATCCGCATTCAGATTTGATGACGTTTTCCTTGTGCTTACGCCGCCGTGGCCAATAGCGGACAAGTTGCCATGGCAACGGGTTTAAATATTGGTACTCTCAGATTGCTTCCAAAGTTCTACCTTGGGTTTGGTAAAACGTCTATAAAGGCTGAGGGTGGTAAAGCTAATTATTTCTTCGACGTGCTATTTTTTTTTTTTGCTCCTACCGAATTTGGACTCGACCAGTACAATCAGAAAATGTGTATTTAGTTAGAAGGCTTGCGGTTTGGGCATCACCAGACTTGGATCCTGGACAGCACATTAGGACTGGAAGATGCTGTTCGATTCTTCATAGACTTTTGAGATGATTTTTATTAAGACGATAATGACTCCATTTATTTCTGTGTAATTAATGCAGCATTTGAGACTTAAATCTAGTGGCAACCACAAGGTAATTAATTGTTAGAATGGTCGATAAATAGAGAGAAATTTATAGAAGTTAAGTTTGCACGTCTTTTGCATGATGTCTAAAGAAAATAAGTGTAGAAAATCCAAATAGCCATCGCTGCGTCTTAATTCTGAAGGAGTGATCTGTGCGCGCGGTGGGGGATCCCGTTCTTTTCTCATGCATAAAGCTATTTACAGGGAAATGCACTGGATTAAGATACTGGCTCGCATCAATAGAGAGTATACCGGATCGCCCAGCGGTTTGACAAAGTAGCCTCAAATCGAAGGGATTTTAAATATTTACCCAGGTAATCATTTTGTTAGTTGAGGAAATGCAAACATTGCATACGCTCCAATTTATTCGAGTGAATTAGAGACCGAATTCACAAACTTTAGCAGCTTTTTATCATTTAGCGGAAATTACTTACATTTTTTACAGGTAACTATTCTGCTGCGTGTATGTCCACACGGAATTCCCAAGATATAATTTAATTTATCGATTAAAAGTAAAACAACTCAAATATCAGCGTACGATTTTTTATTAGCAATGATATGTTTGTCCACATTTCCTTATGCATTAGCGTTACATATTGTGCGGTAATATCTTTGCGGCCCATTGTCAGAGAGCTGTGTTTTCATGGGTTCTGAAAGCCACAGGCATGTTTGTTCACTGGAATAAATCCGGATCAGGTCACGCGTGGTCTGTCTACCTGCTTCCCTCTCTCCATGTAAACAATAGCACGCAGTTTACAGTTGTGTTAGTGTATCGGATTAGAACGCGAACGCAAGCACCATAACCAATGCTCTGTCTATTGTTAAATAAAATATATATCTGGGACTATTTAAAACAACAGAACAAAATAATAACTATTATTATTATTGTAAACTTTTTAGAAGTGGGTCTATCTAATAAATCTATATATCTATAATCTCCTGAAATTAATAATCATTTTACAACATGCAGGGCTTAAGCAGTGACTAAATAGCGTTTGGTAATATTTGGAGTCAGGGGATGCCGGTGGGCTGCATGCTGGAAAAAAGGAGAGCCAAGGGTGAGTTTCGGGACCCCCGCTGTTCTTGGCAGGCAACAACGGCAGCGAGTTTGGCTTCGCTTACATTTCTAATCCCTTCGCGATGCACGCTATTTATTTTCTCACTAAGTATTGTTTTGTTGATTCCCCATTTAAGACATCCTCAGTTTTCCCCCTGGCGTTACCCTCCGCGAATAAGCAAATATGAGTGAAATGCACGCCTGGGCTACTTCCAGTCATTTGCATATTTGTAAATGGCTAAATGCTAAAATTAAAGGTGCCATCTGTTTACAATCGCCTTGACAGAAGAGCCATTAACAGGCTGGCCTAACCTTGTCGAGTCTTTTTGGTTAAATAGCGAATCAGCCCACAGCTTGTGCGTACACACATATGCACCCAAAACTATGTGAACAACTCTGCTTTTAAATGACACAGAACCTTCCCACTTGCATCATACAAGAACCAACGCGTTATCATTTGATGCATGGGAAAGCTAACATTTGGGACTAGAAACTGTTATTGAGAGCATATTCTTCTATGTCTAATCAATAGGCTACAGTGCTATGATGCTCTCTAGAGAAAGGGCCCTAAGTCTGCAATGCAAACAAACGCTAGTGGAACGCGCAGAGGCACCTGTGCAGATACAGGAACTGTCCAGGGTGCTGAAAACAGCGGGAGGGATTTGTGCTCGCAGTGACTCAGTGTGTGAATTATACAATGACTTCCAGGAGGGATGGATATTATAAACAAACTTCGATATTTTATAAGCACTTTTCTTAATTAAAATAAATGTTTGCTTAATTAAATGTAGGCTAATGTTCAAAGCGCAATGTGCACGTCTTTTTTTATTTTTTATTTTAAATAGCCTAGGCCTATACCATATATGTGAATTTATAATTAAAGGAATTGATGTACCGCCTAAAACCGATCGTAAGGAAAAGTGTATAAATGGCGCACTGTTTCTATAGTTACCTCTGGGAATGGGGCTTCTGTTGGTTTGCATCAATGGAATACGCGTTCTGAGAATAACATTTACGTATGAAAAATGCACGCGGGGGAAAAAAACACTATGTTCTTTTACTACGACTCCCCCACCGACTTATTATGGCATATATGAACACAAGTTGACTGTACTTATCAAATATTATTACATATTAACATATTAGCCACTCTCCTAAACATCTGGTAAGCCATTCATTTAATCCTCTTTAAGATACACTTAGACCTTAATCATTCAACACCAGACCCCAAGTTAAAGAAAAATAGTTGTTATGGATTATTCAATGAGTGGATAGTGATTCTTGTATTTACTTCAGTCTCATTTTCGTAATCATGTTCAACTTTACATTCACCTAACTCATTAAAATGTAAGAGGCAGAGTCAGAAAACTGGACACAAAAAGCCTGTTTTATTACTGTTCAATTCAGTCAACAAAATTACCTTAAATGATCAGTATTTTGATGATCAGCATCAAATCTACAAATTTTGCTGGCAATGCACATTGGCATATAACATTATGTATAAAAGAAGAAAGAACAAATGAAATATTTAATGCATCTACACTTAGTTAAATGCAACAAGCTTTGCAAAGCCCTATAAACTGAAAGAGCAGAGCATATGTGATTCATTTAAAGGCAAATGTCCTTATTATATCGGTCTCAAAGGCTTTGGGTGTCTATCAAAGATATCATCCAAGTGTGATCTCTCGATTTTTGCATAAGTAGGACATGAATACATGCATAGTAGATAAAACGCCTCAGTGTTCTTTGTGTAATTTACAGACAGAAGTGTTTAGAGGGCCTAATTTGCGCACGCTTTATTTAGTGGACATTTCCACATACACACAAACCATTAGCATGAATGAAAACACACACAGAAGAGAAAGAGAAAGAAAATAAACACATTTCTCAATGTATTTTATACATACTATATACTCTTAAAAATAAAAGTTCTTTATTGGCATCAGTGGTTCCATGAAGAACTTTAAACATCCATAGAACATTCTTCAGATTAATAAAATGTTCTTCATGCTAAGAAAAAGTGGTTATTTTATTAAGAACTGTGCACTGAAAGCTGGTACTTTGGGGACCAAAACTTCTTCTGACACTGGAACCTTAGTTTTGAAGAGCGTATATTTAAAAAAAAAAAAAAATCATTCTGAAAATACACTGAATGTTCTAAATGATATTATTTTAAATATTAATATTCTTAATAACAAAATTAAATATTAAATACTAAAATAATATTAAAAGTATTAACTTATGCAAAGCAGAAGATACACAGAATGAAAAGGCATAAATGTAAACAGACAAAAGGACATGAGAGACACGAACGTACACACTTTGAAATGAGCTCCACTCAAAACACGTCTCCCTGGAGACATTGCAGTGAGTGGCACACCTCCACTTCCCCTGCACAGACCTTCATTCTCACTGCCAGAACTAGCCTGGAGGGGCCAAGCCATCTCAGCATGTTTTCTATGCCGCACCACAATCCACCCAGTCCACTGCACACACAGGCAGGCAGGCAGGCAGACAGACTTTCGGCCCAAAGTGCCATTAGACTTGAAAGGTAGGAGAAGGGAGAAGAGGTGAACAGGCATCTCAAGCATTCCGATTTGCGAAACCCCCCCCTGTATCCATCCACCAAAGGGGTACATGACTCCCCAGGGCTGAGGCAGCATGGCTGGGGTAGGCCTGGAGGGGGCTGCGAGCCAGGATGCGGTTGTGGGGGTCGGTCAGTGTGATGGATGGTTGATTGGTAGCTGTCCCAGGGGCCTCCCTCTCTCTCACCTCTGGCGCTGGGAATTAAAAGGCGGTTTGTCTCTAGCGAGTCCTCAGCTGCTGAAAGCAGCCCGGCAATTTCACAGAGATCAGACAGGGCATTACTGCTGCCTGTCAGGGGAGCCGTCACACAGCCGGACACCACAGGGTGGGATGGTGGAGGGGGGCCAGCTCTTACAGGCATGCACATGCGTGCTAATTTTCACATAGAAAAACACGCAAATGCATATGAGGCTGTGTATCTGTGGAGTAAGACTTTTCTGAAGAGCTGGTCTGTCTGAGTGGAGTAGGTGCAGACACACACACATACACACTTGCATTCTCACAGGGCCTTTTATCGACAGTCCTGTCCATCTCACTTATCTGTTCTAATCAAAGCTCTCTCCATTAACACCCAAACTACCCTCAGAACACCAATGCGAGACCCCTGACCTGATGAGTATAAATACACACAGACATTCACACTTCCAACACTCTCACAGCCACTGAAATGCCAAGAAACTTATTAACAGTCACCAGACAGTTTTGGTGGAAACCAGCTGGTCAGAAACGCAACTGAGCTGTCAGTTGTTATGACCATGGTTTACGATTTAAAGTGAGGGAAATGTCTTATCACAGAGGATCCACCAATTCATTTAAAAAAATATATATATAAATAATGAAAACAATGCTAAATTTAAGAAACTAAAGTTCATCTAAATGTTTCAGCTTAAGAATGCACATTACTAATGATTAATTTAATGACTTTGTAATGTAAGCATCATAAAGTATGCAGACACATTAATATGTTATTATAAGCCAGGCTTACAATGCAAGACATGTATTTAACAGAAATAGTTCACCCAAATATGAAAATTCTGTTATCATGTAGTCATCTTCATGTCATATGAAAGCCATATACTTTCTTTTTTTCTCTGCAATGATAAGAAGTTTAGCAGAATGTCTGAGAAATTGAAACAGGTTTTGCTTTGTATTTGATCAAAAATGCAGTAAAAACAGTAATTTTGTGAAAACATTACAGTTTTAAAATGTTTTCTTTGAATGTATTGGAATATATTTTAAAATGTAATTGAATCTTGTGTTTTCAGCAGCTGTTACGCCAGTTTCCTTCAGAAATCATTCTAATATGCTTATTTCAAGAAACATTTCTTATAAATGTTGAATATAGATGTGCTGCTTAAAGTTTTTATGGAAACCATGATACATTTTTTCCAGAATTCTGATGAATAGAAAGTTTTAAAAAAGCACTTATTAAAAAAAATCTATGATTATGAATGTCTTTAATGTCACTTTTGATCAAATTAATGCATCCTTGCTGAATTAAAGTATTTCTTAAAAAAATCAAAATGTTATCAAATGCTTGAACAGTAGTGTTATCGAAATCAATGAATATGATTGCTTTCTTACAACTGGCACTATGCTTTACAGTGTGTGTGTGTTTATAAAAGTATATGAATTGAATGCCTGCAGGATGTGTGTTTTTGTGTGTGTATAGGGTATAGACCCTGTCACTGAGGCATGATGAGAGAGACTACCTGCAGCCTTTGGTCCATCTTAATGAGGTAATGAGTGAAGAGGAGGGGGGCGCTCTGCCTCTGCCCTCATAAACTCCATT